CTGGTGCACCTGCAGGTGTAAGCCTCTAGGGTACAGAATGAACGGGGGAAGCAGAACTAGACTCCGGATGTACAGTTGAGCCTGTTCCTCTTCTTGCCGTAGGATGAACCAACAGCTGCAAACCAAGGCTATGGCACTGCTGACAGCCCTGCTGCAGGGGGCCAGCTCTGCTGAACGCCAGGTGAGTGCTCTGTCTGGGGTGGCTGCTGTGCTCCAGCTAAGAGCAGAATCCTCTAAACCCCCTTCTCACCCACTGCAGCACATGCTTGACTACCTATGGCAGAGGAATCTTCGCCAGTTCATCTATAAGGTGGGACGGGGCAGGCCCGGGAGACCCTCTCACCGGTCCTCCTTTCTCAGGGAGTCTTACTCAAGCCTGGCTGTCTTCCAGAACATTATCCACAGTGCAGCTCCCATGGGCGATGAGATGGCTCACCACCTGTATGTGCTGCAGGCTCTTACACTAGGGTTGCTGGAGCCACGCATGCGGACACCACTTGACCCCTACAGCCAGGTGCACAGAGGTACAAAGGCTGGAGGGTTCCCTAGAATTTTGTTTTGAACCTGTGATCTTGACATGCTCCTCCCCATTGGCTTCAGGAACAGCGGGAGCAACTGCAGGCCCTGCGCCATGCAGCCTTTGAGCCAGAGGGGGAGTCCTCTGGCACAGGGCTGAGTGCTGACCGCCGCCGTTCTCTCTGTGTCCGAGAGTTCCGAAAGCTAGGCTTCTCTGTGAGTGACCCCTTCCTTAGTCCCCAAACTTCCACCCAGGCTGCAGTTATTCTAGGACCATGGCCCTTCCTAAGCTGCCTGCATTCCCATCTCTAGAACAGCAACCCAGCCCAGGACCTGGAGCGTGTGCCCCCGGGCCTGCTGGCCCTGGACAACATGCTCTACTTCTCCAGACATGCACCTAGTGCATACAGCCGGGTTAGTAACAGAATGGGGCACCGGGGGTGGCACCAGCCCAGATGCATCAGGACCTCCATGGAGATCCTGCTGCCGTTCTCTATTCCCACTGCCTTAGTTCGTGTTGGAGAACAGCAGCCGAGAGGACAAGCATGAGTGCCCCTTTGCCCAGAGCAGCATCCAGCTGACGGTGTTGCTGTGTGAGCTGCTCCACGTCGGGGAGCCTTGTGAGTTGAGCTAGATCCAGTGTATTTGGGGTCAGGGGACGGAAGGGCAGAGAGGGCCAGGGGCTGTAGACACTTTCTCCCTGAGCCCCTCCTGCCCCCCCGCTCCAGGCTCCGAGACCGCCCAGGACTTCTCACCCATGTTCTTCAGCCAAGACCACAGTTTCCATGAGCTCTTCTGTGTGGCTATCCAGCTGCTGAATAAGACCTGGAAGGAAATGCGGGCAACACAGGAGGATTTTGACAAGGTGGGTGGGGAGGAGGCAGCAAGGTGCTTCTGGAAAAGGGTCTTGAGCACAGGTCCTATACTGAGCTTGTGAGGTCCTAGGTAATGCAAGTGGTTCGGGAGCAGCTAGCCCGGACGCTTGCACTGAAGCCCACCTCCCTGGAACTCTTCCGAACCAAAGTGAATGCTCTCACCTACGGGGAGGTGCTGAGGCTGCGGCAGACAGAACGTCTGCACCAGGAGGGCACTCTGGCCCCTCCTATACTGTGAGTCTCGGTCTCCACCCTCCCCATTGCCCTGTGGACCATGCTCCAGCTCACCCTGGTGAATGATCCCACTCTCCATTCAGGGAGTTGCGGGAGAAGCTGAAGCCAGAGCTCATAAGCCTGATCCGCCAGCAGCGTTTGCTCCGACTCTGTGAGGGAATGCTCTTCCGCAAGATCAGCAGCCGGAGACGCCAGGGTCTCTGAATGGGCTAAAGGTGTTGGGGGGGGGCGGGGTGTTTGTGTTCAGAGCCCCCCTCATCACTCCTCTCTTCTCTTTTCGGCAGACAAGCTGTGGTTCTGCTGTTTATCCCCCAACCACGAAGTATTGCAGTATGGGGATGTGGAGGAGGGTGCCAACCCACCCGCCCTGGATAGTCTACCTGAACAGGGTAAGGAGGGCGGGGCTTGGGCTCCTATACCTGTTCTCCCTCTCCCTAGATGCCCCTTATCTTGGGTCAGCCTTGGGCCACAGTGGTCAGCCAAATCTTCTTTCTACAGTCCCTGTGGCAGACATCAGGGCACTCCTGGTGGGCAAGGACTGCCCCCATGTCCGGGAGAAGGGCTCTGGGAAGCAGAACAAGGTGACTGCGGTAGGGTCAGAGGCTACGCCCCCTCCTATCCCACTCTACCTGTTCCCTACTCAGTGTCCTTGTTCCCACTCTCCTAGGACCTCTATGAGTTGGCTTTCTCCATCAGCTATGACCATGGGGAGGAAGAAGCATTCCTGAACTTCATTGCCCCCTCCAAGCGGGATGTAAGTTTCTGGGCTACACTGTTGGGTAGATGAGCAGAGGGAACAGAGAAGCAGGCACTGAGTTGGCCCTGTTCATCCCTAGTTCTACCTGTGGACAGATGGGCTAAATGCCCTGCTGGGCAGCACCATGGGCAGTGAGCAGACTCGGCTAGACCTGGAGCAGCTGCTTACTATGGAGACCAAGTTGCGCTTGTTGGAACTGGAGAATGTGCCCATTCCTGAGCAGCCTCCCCCAGTACCCCCGCCCCCTACCAACTTTAACTTCTGCTATGACTTCAGCATCACTGAGCCTTGACTGAAGTTGGCCATGGGCCACAATGGTGCTGCTGTGGCAGCCACAAAGAGGGGTGGAAGTCACAGACAACCTGACCAGCAGAACCTCTAGCAAAAATAAAGTTAGCTTGACTTGTAAGTATGTGTCCAATCAGCTCTGAACCTGTGGGCCAAGGCTGTTGATAAACACAGGTATGAATGATGTAAGGGGCACCAGGTAAGACCACGTGCTCAGGACAGCTAGCTGCCTTTGGAAGGCCGGTGTTGGGTGGAAATAGGTAAGAACTATTACCCTTCTTGAAATAAGTCCTTAGCATCCCCAGTTCTGGACATGAAGAGAGGGATGACCTGCCATCTGAGGGAGCAGCCAAGGAGAGACCGGAATGTGGGCCAACTGAGAAGAGAAGTACCAGGGCAGGACACACTGCCCCAGATGGATACCTTCCTAGGCAAAAGCAACAGCGTCTGTCTGGAAACCATGCTTTCAGAAGGCTCCCGACAGTCGGCCCTGCCCTTGTTCTATGTGGGATGTGGAAACCTTTGGTGAGAGGCATGAGGGAGAGACACACAGCTGAAGAAGGCTGTTAAATCCAAAGGGGTAATCTGCACAGAGAATCCTGATCTAACCGTGATTATATGTGAGGTGGTCACAGACAAGCCAGAGTCTGTGTGGGCAGAAGTGCTGAGACATGGTGGGTCCAGCTGGAGTCACAAACTCCAGGCTCCGAAGACAAATAATTCAGCAATCCAGGGGCCCTAGAGGGTAGGCTGAAAGCTACCACTACCCTGAATGACTTCTATATGCCATTCATCATTACTCCTCAGATACTGTGCTTAACATGCTCTTCACCAACGTTGTGCCTTAAAATTGACTAAATGGCATTTCCTTTGGGAAAAAATGCTAGCAAAACACTTGGCCCTGGGGGGGCGGGAAACAAAACAAAACTACATTTCCCATCTTCAGAGTATCCATGCCTGGACACAGAGCCTTGCTACTACACTTAGAAGAGACTTTTGAGTTTAAGGTAGAAATGGAGGGTAGGGTTGCAGTTAGTGTCCCAATACAGTCAATTCTCCATACCTTCCATTACTTGTCCATGCCACCACCACCTTGGCAATAAACCCCTGGCTTCTGATCATTTCTATAGCTGCCATTCCAGCATTGCAAATTTAATGTGATTATATGCTCATACATACACCCTGTGGAGGTATGAATGAGAATGGCCCTCACGGGCTCATGTGTTTGAATGCTTGGTCCCAGTTAGTGGAACTGATTGTGAGGGATTAGGAGGTGTAGCGTTGTTGGAGGGGGTATGTACCAGAAGTGGGCTTTGAGGTTTCAAAAGCCCATACCAGGTGCAATCTAGCTTCCTCTCTGCCTGTGGATCGGGAGGTAAGATCTTAGCTCCAGCGCCATATCTGCCTGTCACTATACCCCCCACCATGATGGTCATGGACTAACCCTCTGCAACTGTAAGCAAGCCCCCATTAAATGCCTTCTTTTATGAGTACCTTGGTCACAGTATTTCATTACAGCAATAGAACAGTAAGACACATCCTATATTGTTCAATATCTCACTACTGTTCTATTGCCATGGTTACCATGATTGAGTACTGAATTGAGCTGCCAAGTTGCATAGACATGTTTTAGTCCTTCTGTTTTGTCTTCAGGGTTCCTATTGCCAAGCTGGCATCCTCCCTGTATCCCATCAGGGCCTACATACACCCTTCCATAGCAGAACCAGCTCCAGTCTGTCCATCTGACCTCTATGCCCCCTTTTGCCTTTCACTGCCTTGATGTCTTCCTTGACCCTCTAAGTTCATTGCTGCCCTAGGTTTCTTGCCCCGGATGCTAATTCTCTGTTCATGCATCTCCTGCATACCAGACTGTCCCTGCCTACTGGCTTATTTACCTCCCTATCGAGTTTGGTGATTGGGAGAACAATAGCACATCTGAATTCCAACTTGAAGTCCAGTGGCTGCAGGTACTCAGCACAGGCTAGCTGCTTCTAGAACCAATAGACAGACACACAGAGGATCAACTGGATGGACCACCCCAGAGCTGCTATTGAGTCATTGGCACTGATCAGAAGGTTTGGACTCTATGACCACCTGTGACCCTCCTACTCAGAGATGCTGTCTTGTTTCTTATCCTACTCCAAGGCAGCACATGAATCTGGTAAACGGCTGCTTCCAGGTCTGGGTGGGACCAGTGCCTGTAGCAGGGCATGTGCAGAAGTGCTGGGAAAGGCCTCCAAAGCCTCCCATGTGAGGAGTCAGTGTGGGGAATCTCAATGTCTCTGTGTTAACTGAGATGGAGAAGGGAGGGCCCGTTTAGTCTGAGAACATCAGAGGAAAACATAAAATCTGGAATTTTTAATCTTGTTTGGGTTTACAATCAAGTTGGTGGATTGACTGCTAATGCTCAGGAGGGTTGGAAGAGACCCCTGGAGAGCAGGCAAAACAGAGGTCTGAGTGGCAGGAGGCACAGAGTCTGCCCTTCCTCAGCACCAGGCCCAGCACCCCCTGTGGCCCTGACCTTTAGAACAGAGCCCATGGAAGCAACGTGCAGCCGGAAAGAGGTTGCTGCCATCTGTGGGGTCCTGGATTGGTCCGGTCCTGAGTCTTAGAAAAGTTTCTAGAGCAGGGGAAGGCAGGAGGCCCTGAGGCTAACACAGGTCCGGAGGCCTGGGCCTGGGCTATGCTGGTGAAGAAGGACGAGCTGCAGGGATAGTAACTGACCTGGCCTCAGAGTGTTAGGGTCAGGTCAGCCCCTCCCACGAAGCGAGACTGGATGCAGGTCACCTGAGGGAGCTGCGCTTGGAAGTGCCTGATAGCTGCCATGTTGATACCAGGACACATGGCCACATCCAACACTCGAAGCTGCTTGCATGCCTGCCCAATGGTATCCAGAGTTCTGCAAGAAGGCCACGGGATGAGTGCTTGAACCGATGTAGGACCCAAGTCCAGCCCATGCACTGTGGCCCATGTAAGGCAATCAAACACTCACTGCTCTGTGAGCTGACTGCAGCTGGACAGGTTGAGGTGTTGCAGCCTTGGCCAGAACCTGGCTGCCTGAGCCCATCCCTCATCACTGAGGTGGCTGCAGTGACTCAATGCCAAGTGCTCCAGGCTGGGACAGCCCCTAGCCACAGCTACCAAACCCGTGTCTGTGAGCCCTGGCAGCAGGCTCAATGACAACTGCCTCAGCTGAGGCAACTGGAGCACCTGCAAGGATAAGGACACAGGATGGCACTGGGACTCAGAGCCTGGACCCTTCCCGGTTCCTTGCTCTACCAGAAACCGAAGAGAAAGGGGCTCCAAGAACAAAATGGGTTGGCCCAATCCCCTGGCACCAGCCCCAATGTCCTCAGCTTATTCACACCTTGGCCAAACTGGCATCTGTCAGCTTGCAGCAGGCTGTGAGATCCAACTCCTGCAGGGCCTGAAGCATGAGCAGGGAGGGGCTTCGTGGGTCAGAATTAGGCTCCTGAGGGTCTGAGGCCTGATTTTCCACCTCTTGGTGTAGCTGTGGGAAGAAACTCCCACTTCTTAGGTTCTTCATAAGTTTTGCTAAAGATTCAGGAAGTGCACAGGGTAGCTGAGACCCAGGTCACCTCACCCTCCCTAATTCCAAGGATCTCATACCTGGGAACTTAGCCCAGGCTTCTCACTTGGCTCCTTCAGCCCCAGAAGCCCCCAGTCCTGGAGCTCCTTGCACCAAGCCAGGCGCAGGACTGACAGGTGAATGAGGTAGGTACAGATGGCCTGCATGGTCTGGTTAGTGAGGGCCACACAGGAGGACAAGTCTAGCACCTTGAGGCTTGGGCCCAATGCTGGGATCATGGAAAGCACTGAGGCATCCTAGCAGGAGGACAAAAAAAAAAAAAAAGAATATCATTGGGGTCATGAGCAAGGGTCTGAATGAGCGCACCATGGTCCCTGTGTTGGTTGTGAAAGTTTGGAGTGAACAGGGTGGGAGACCCAGAGGAGGCTGCTGAAAGACACAAAGGCCATGACTATGTGTGTACACGGAAGGGTGTAGATAGGGTTCTCTAAGGCAGCTCACGACTACGTGTGTACACGGAAGGGTGTAGACAGGGTTCTCTAAGGCAGCTCACGACTACGTGTGCACACGGAAGGGTGTAGACAGGGTTCTCTAAGGCAGCTCACGACTACGTGTGCACACGGAAGGGTGTAGACAGGGTTCTCTAAGGCAGCTCACGACTACGTGTGGCACACGGAAGGGTGTAGAAAGACACAAGGCCACACCTACGTGTGGCACACGGAAGGGTGTAGACAGGTTTCTCTAAGGCAGCTCACGACTATGTGTGCACACGGAAGGGTGTAGACAGGTTTCTCTAAGGCAGCTGCTGTGCCTGTGATGTCGGAAGCATGGGCTGAGGCAACACTGACCACAGCCCACCGGACCAGGACAACTGAACCAATCAGAGGTGCTTCTGATAGATTTAGGACCTGAAGCATTAGGGCTGCCACCACCACGAGAAGCTGGGGGCAGCAGGAGCTAAAAGCAGAGCAGAAAATCTGTGTAGATTCAGAGAGAGCTGGGTGGGCATGAGAACACGAGGCCTGGTAGAACAGCTAAGGGACACTAATGGCCAAGGAACTGTTAGGCAGAGTGCTTGCCATGAAATGAGGGTGAGACAGGTTTTAGGTCTGGAATGCTCTTGTCATAGTAAAAGGTTAAAGGGATAACAACCCCCCAGCTGACATTTTTCAGACAGGAATGCCACCCATATGGACAATGCTGAGTTCTGTGAAGGACCTGACTTCAGCTAACAGTTAACCTTACAGCTCCCAAGTGATCCATCCCAAGGCCCCGCCTACTGAATATCTTCTTCAGTGCAATATAAAACATTTTTTTTGGCCTTTTTTCCAGATAGGGTTTCTCTGTGTATCCCTGACTATCCTGGAATTCGCTTTATAGACCAGGCTGGCCTCTAACTCACAGAGACCCGCCTGCCTTTGCCTCCCGAGTGCTGGGAGTAAAGGCGTGTGTTACCACCTCTGTCACGGTTTTCTATCACTCCTTTTCTCTCGACTTCCTCCCTCTAGAACTCACATACAGTGTGGGATCACTCATGAAACAGGCCAGAGAGGGCAGTAAAGTCTTGTTCTGCCATATTATCTAAGTTGTTCTCTTCCAGACCACATCCTAAATGTATTTCTAATGACTATCCTGGGACACAAACCCTGGTTAGACTGTCCCTGAGGCCACAGGCCCAGCTCCCCCAGGTCCCCTGGACAGGAAGGGAGGGAAAGTAACTCACCTTCAGTGAAGAGCAGTAAGCCAGCCTGAGGGAAGTCAGTGCCGGTGGAGCTCTGTGAACTGAGCCTAAGACCTTTGCCAATTCCCGCCCGCTCACCAGACAGCACTCAGCCATGTCCAGGCTCTGCAGTTTGTGCAGGGCTCCCAGGGCTGTACAACCTGCATCAGTCAGTCGCTGCAGTTTCCTCAGACTCAAGTGCCGCAGGTGTCGCAGGCCTCGACTCACAGCCAAGAGTGCCCCGTCAGTCAGTTCTGAGCAACCACTGAGATCCAGGGAGGTAAGGCCAGGCTGCTGGCGGCATAGGGTGGCCACGGCCTCTGAGGAGAGGTCTCTACAGCTATGCAAGCTCAGTTCCTCCAGCTGCAGTCCAGTCACTTGGCCCAGGGCTTGTAGGGCCTCAGGTGGCAAGCCAGTACCACTGAGGTCTAGGGCACGCAGCCTACCAGCTCGCTCTTTGACAAACTGGAGCAGGTTGTGGAAGGAAAGCTGGGAGGGAGAGGACGCCTGGGGGCTAATGGAGCCCCAGGTTGGGCCTAACTCAAAGGTAAGATGGCAGTAGGCCAAGGAGAGGCGCTCCAGGCTGGGGAAACAACCGCTGAGATGGTTGAAGCTAAGGTCAGTCAGGTTACGTAGGCTAGCCAGGTTAAGATCACGAAGGCCACTCAATGCCTTCCGAACACACCGTGCTGTCTCAGGCTGAGCCAGCAGAGTGCCTGATGTGAAGAGACTGTTGCAGCCACTGAGGTCAAGGGTGCGCAGGGCTGGACATCCCAGGATCAAGGCCAAGAAGGATGCCTCTGTGGGGCTGCCCCCTCCCAGGCATAAACTCTCCAGGTGTGGGCCTAAGTGGTAAGCAACAGACTGCAGTACCTGGTGCGAAGCTGGTGAGCCATCCAGGTTGGTCAAGCTGATGCATGAAATGCCCCTGAGGCCCAAGCTCTTGATTGCTGAGAGTGAGGCAGAGGACACAGGAATGTTGTACCGCACATTTGTCTATAGGGTAGCAGCAGGCCTGAGGTTAGTTCTCAGAGGCTGAAGACAGTCAAGAAAGGCCCTTCTACAGGAAGCACCCATCCCTGCTGTGTATGTCATGTCATGTGTAGCTGAGAAGGGTGTAGGCAGAAAGTGGGAGCTGGGAAGAGAAACAGAGTGGGAAACAGGAAGACGAATCATGCTGAGATCTGGAAGGAAGTGACTATTGGGCCAGCAGGAAGGTGAATGAAGAACAATGCTAGATGCCCACAGAGGAGCAAGGATCGAGTGGGGAGTTGGCAAACTGAGCACAGGAGGGTTATGACCTATAGGACACCCAATGATGCCTTCATGGAGTGGGAGGCCACAGAATGCCAGATCACAATCTGTTTTGTTGTTGTTTTGATTTTGAGACAGGGTTTCTCTGTAGCTTTGGAGCCTTCCCATAACTCGCTCTGTAGACCATGTTGGCCTCGAACTCACAGAGATCTGCCTGCCTCTACCTCCTGAGTACTGGGACTAAAGGCGTGCACCACCGCCACCTGGCTGCAGTGTCAGATCTTAAGATCTGCAGACCCAGTCAGGATCTCGGCACTAGTTAAACAGTCGGATGCCCGGCTTCCTAGAGAGGGTATAAACAGCACTGCGAGGACGGGAAGGAAGGAAGGAAGGAAGGAAGGAAGGAAGGAAGGAAGGAAGGAAGGAAGGAAGGAAGGAAGGAAGGAAGGAAGGAAGGAAGGAAGGAAGGAGGTGTTACTCAGTTTCTTGTGATCCAGGTACCAGAGGTCTGGAATAAACACCAAGGTCTAGTCCCCTGGGGGCCTGAGTGCCTCAGCACACAAATATTGGCAAAAACAATTGTGTGAGCAGAGGTGTGTGCACATACATGCGCGTGCACGTGTATTCCAACATGTGTCAACATGTGCAACAGGTGTGGCTGCCTGCAACACCTGTATCACATCTCTGCAGGCAGCAGAAGCTAATATAAATCCCAGAGAAGCCAAGGAACTTAAGCTGGGCTTGCTTGGCAGAGAAAGAGCAGTTCATGGTTGGAGTAGGGGGTGCAACCCAGGAGTCAAGCTCAGGTTTAAGATGTAGCAATACAGCCGGGCAGTGGTGGCGCACACCTTTAATCCCAGCACTGAGGGAGGCAGAGGCAGGCGGATCTCCATGAGTTCGAAGCCAGCCTGATCTACAGAGGGAGTTCCAGGACAGGCTGAGATAACAGAGAAACTCTGTCTCAGGGAAAAAAAGAATGTGGAATATGATGGCTTTGGCAGCATATTGGGAAACCCCAACTAAGGGAAACAGTCTCATAGAACCTTCCCTGCTCTCATGCCAAAAGTAGTTAAAGGAGAAGTCAATACAGTCTGTATGGAATAGACCTGTAGCAGGGAAGAGGACACCTGCACTTCCAACATCTTATCCACTAGGTCAGGGATGCAGCTCAGGGCTTATCTAGCATGTGTAAAGCCGATTTAGATCTTCAGAAAAAATCCACCTAGTCCTTTCTCCACCTGTTGCCTAGGTAGCAGGAACATGTTCTTTAAGAAGCCTTTAGCTTTATCATCAACAGGGCTCTGATGCAGGAAAGCTAGTAAGGTCTGGAAAACACCTTTGTCAGCAACAACAAAAATACCACTTTCCTGTCTGACTCCGTCAGAGTAGCACCAAGAGGACACGGAAAGGCAGCACCGACACAGGCAGTCCTGCAAACTCTAGCACTATCCTCCAAGCCAGCACACAACCCGTCCCTAGGCACGGGGAGCAGACTGGCTTCTTCCTCAGCAGAAATGACCCCCATGACTGTCGTGGTGGGAAGGATAGGTAAGAAGCAAGAACTAGGGAGCTGAGAATGTAGCTCAATTGGTAGAATAGTTGGTTGTCTAGCACAAAGCCCTGGGTTCAACACATGGCATTACAGAAGCCAGCATTTGAGGGGTAGAATCAGGAAGATCAGAAGTTCTAGGTCTCCGGTGGTGGTGGAGCACGCCTTTAATCCCAGCACTTGGGAGGCAGAGGCGGGCGGATCTCTGTGAGTTCGAGGCCAGCCTGGTCTACAAGAGCAAGTTCCAGGACAGGCTCCAAAGCCACAGAGAAACCCTGTCTCGGAAAAAAAAAAAAAAAAAGTTCTAGGTCATTTTTTGCTTGAGACCAGGCTGGGCTACATGAATCCTTGTCTCAAAGAAAAGGAGCAAATAGGGACCACCTCATGTTCTCTCTCACAGGAATCCCTGTGATCCCCTTCCTGATCCTGCTTTGAGACTGTGGTTGTTCCCTGCTCCCCACAAGAGGAGGTTCCCTTCAGATCCCCTTGCTAGAGGGTAGTGGAGACTCCTGAAGGTCTGTCTGGGATTTAAGGGGGGGGGGGAGATGATCCCAGTGTGAAGGCTGGGAAAAGAGATTAAAAGGGCTGACAAGGAAGACTATAGAAGGAAAAGTGAAAGCAGCCTCCAGCCACTGAGAAGCCCGTGCACCATGTGGATCGGTCTGAATAAACTAGAGCTGGAGGAGCTAGGAGCAGCTCAGTTGCCCAGGCAGCGCCCACCCCCACCACTCATGTAGCTTAGGAGCCTGAGAGCCACAGAGCCTCTGTGCTAACAGCTACAAGCACGAAGGAGCTTAGCTTCCTTCCCTTTCTGAGAGCTTGAGCAGCCAGGAATGTTCTTCCATTTCCAATCACCTCTCTGTGAACAAGGTAGACAAACAGTCAAGAGAATTTGCTGGCAATCACCCTAGGGTACAGTTCACAGTTGGCAGCCACAAGACAAACAGGCAGGGCCTGGCCCAGAGACTTTCCAGCTACCAGGGCAGATACTTGAGACCATACCTGGCCCCTGCTGTCTCAGGCTGTCCCTGAAGCTGCTGTGGCAGGAGATGACCTTGAACTTGTGATTAGTTCAGGGATCAGTACAGGGATCACAGGCCTGCATCACTACTATTAGTTTTATGTAATACTGGGAATCAAGCCCAGGGCTGAGTATAGGCTAGGCAAGTACTCAACTGAGTCATATCCCCAGTGACCCCTGACCATTGTTAGCCAGGCCAGGTAGCCTTGAGCCCTTTACACAATGGTCAACCTGCTCCTGAGGTCAACTGGATGTAACTGCAACACCAAAGGGCAGCCTTTGAAAAAAAAATTTTTAATGTAAGTAAAGAATGCTTACTCCTTTGAGGGGCAAGTGCAAGGAGGGCTCCTAGGTTCTGGACTTTGGCCTTTTCCAGGCCCTAAGAAACTGCTTTTGGAGGCTTGAGGGAAGAATGGAAGGTACCTGCTCCAGCTTCAGCCACTCCACCCACAGATGGCCAAGGAAGCCCTTGTTCTCCTTTCTCCATGTTGGCATCTTATGAGCAGCTGCTGTCACTCTAAGTGTGCCTTGACTGTGGAGATCAGCACCTAGTGCAGCCTCACAGCCAGACAGCAGGCTTGAGCACAGGCTTGGAGAGCCATCTAGGAGAGAACTGCTTCCCTCTGCTTAGAACAGGGATCCAAAAACTAAGGTACTCATTTTCCTTTCCAAAAACTGCAGTGAAATACAACTCTGGTGCTCAGCGGTCCTGCTCTCTGGAGACAGTTAAATACTTTGGACAGGACGAAAGCAGTGGGAAGAACTGGAACTGCTCCACAGTGACCAATCCAATGGTGGCCACCCAGGACTTTCAGGATACCAGAAAAAACATGGAGCACGTGGGGGCCTTTTCATACTCCATTATTTGGGATACACTAGGATTACATGAACAAAATGGGGATGACAAGAAGTTGAAGTCACATTATCCAGGTATCCTAGCCTGGCTTGGAAGACTTAGTTCCAGCTTTGCCTTAGTTGACTGCTATCTTCCATAGTATCAGTGACGCTGCCTCCTGCTCCATCTGCCTACATCTGAGCCCTAGAGGACAGGCTCTCAACACTACTCTCTGGGGTATAATAGTGGTGAAGTAGGGACAGGACCCTAGATGTCTGTGCACCTATAGCTTTGCCTTCCAAGGCTCTCAGTCTAGAGAGGGCTCTGTCAGTGTGATCTGGAACTCCCAGTTAGCTGCAGCAGTGCCAGCCCCACAATAGTGGCCTCTAAGATCTCAGCCACAGATCCAAGCCCCCTCTTCCTTCCCTCCTTGCTCTTCTCATCCATCTCACCTATACTCAGGAGCCTGACCACCCCTCCATCCTCTTCTTGGTGGTCTCTATGAGACTGCTCTCTCCTCAAGGTTTGTAGTCTTCCTCCCTCATGCTGCTGTGCCGACTCTTCTTGCCCAGCCAGATAACAAAACCAGCTGCCTACCTGCAGTCTGAGCTGGAGATAACAGCACACTGCTGAAGAAGCCATGGCCTGCCCTATACCGCATCCTCCCTGTCTCCCTTCTCCCTTCTCTGAGCCTGCTGCAGAAGCTTCTCTGCTCCTAGCCTTCTTGAAATGGCCGGTCCTTTTTTTTTTTTTCTTTTTTGGTGCACACCTTTAATACCAGCACTTGAGAGGCAGAGACAGGCAGATCTCTGTGAGTTCGAGGCCAGCCTGGTCTACAGAGTGAGTTCCACGACAGCCAGGGTTTCTTTCTACACAAAAGAAACCATCTTGAAAAAAGAAATGGCCTGTCCTGCTTCAAAAAGCAACCGAAGCCATCAAGTGGGAAGTACCTTCCTGTTTGCTAAGTGGCTCCCGGTAGAACCCTACCCCTGACTCCTAGCCTTTGGGTTCAGACAGTCCTTTCTTCTGGCTTGCTGAGCTGTCCCTACCTCATCTCATGGGAATCCAGCTCTTTTTGTCTTTATATTGGTCCTTCCATTTTGGGGGAAAGGGTCTGGCTATGCAGTTCAATCCAGCTTTGAATTCATTATGTAACCCAAGATGGCCTTATGATCACAGCAATCCTCCTGCTTCAGTCTCCTGAGTGCTACAGTACTTTTTCCTATCTCTCCTTTTTCTATTTCCAGTTTTCCCCTGGGAAGTATGAGGAAACACTGCCAGGCTACTCAGTTACCTTTGACCTTATCTGTTTACTCCTTCCTGCCAGAATCACTCAGGCCTGATCACAGCTCCCCTCCAGCAAGTCACTACCACGTGGGGGCTTCTCTCCTGCCTCTCACAGCCTGCTCTGTCCCATGCTGCCTGCCAGGGAAGGGCGTTAGCCATCAACCTTGTCTTACTTCCAATGTGCCCCTGGCTCTCCTCCTGCCTTTTAGCCTGCTTTTCACTGTCTCTCTGGAGTCACTGAAAGACAGACCCAGAGAACACGTGAGTAGTTTCTCCCTGCCTTCTCTGCCTAACACACATACACACGCACAGCCTTTGTCCTCTTCCTTGCGGTCTGTCACACTGGACCATCCTGTGGGGTAACACAGCTTCCCTTTCCTTTCTTTGGTAGATGGACATGTGGTGTACGAGTGTGGGGTAAGGCTGTGTGTGGCAGCCAGGGGAGGACATTAGGTGTCCTGCCCTATCCCTCTTTGCCTTATTGCCCTGAGACAGGGTCTCTCACTGAACCTAGAGCAGCCAGCAAGCCCCACCGATTCTCCTGTCTGCACGGGGCCGACAGGAGAGGCTGTGTAGGGGCACTCTTACGCACTCTCCTGAGTCATCTCTCCAGGCCTATATTCTTCTCTTTTTGTTTTATGAAACAGAATCTCGCCCAGGTAGAACTCTAACTTGCAATTTTTCTGCTTGAGTTTACCAAGGGCTGAGATTACAGACATGTGCCACCATGCCCGGCCCCAGCTCCTTTCTGATCCATATTATTCTCCTCCACCAGACACTGGAGATCAACTGCTTCATGGACCTCTCTAGAAACCCTGATGCAAGATGTCCAGTTCTGAACCACATCTACCCCCACATCTGCTTGGCTCCTAAACCCTGACCACCCTTGTTCCAGCTACCCTCACTCTTACCCATAGTGCCCCTTGAGATACTGAGAGGTATCCCAGCCGGGCGTGGTAATGCACCTTGATCTCCTGACCTTCCTGTCTCTCCCTCCCAGTGCTGGGACTGCAGGCATGAGCCACCACATTCAACAGGAGAGCATACATTATGAGCACTGTTTGTTCTTTACTCTGCCCGTCTCTATGGCATTTTACATCATTACTCATCCATAGGGCGTTTAAGATGCTCTCCAGTCCTGGTCCACTGTTCTTCTGCTCATTACACCTTGCCCTGGGGTGCAGTTACTCAGATTTGGGGCTTTACTTCATCCATTTTTTTCTCCAGTTCTGGGGATCAAACCCAGGGAATTATACATTCTGGTCAAGTTCTCTACCACTGCGCTACACTCCTGCCCTACTCACTCTTCACTTACACCGGGGCTATATTTATTACCCATACCTTTCCCTTGAATTTCTCACACAGATATTCACTGATCAACTGAGTCTTGCCATCTGGCTATCTCACACTCTAAACTTTTCAACAAGTCCAAAATGAAATTCCTTCAGACATTAAAATTCATGACAGCAGATCAATAATCCAGCAACAGGCTCTACTTACACATGTACACTTGATATGTACCAGAGGAGGTTTCCAACCTGACAGGGAAGAGTAGATGGGAATGATGTAGGAGCCATTTGAAAACCAAACAGATCAGCTTCACACTTTATCATACAAATTACAATAAGTTTCATGAATAAAACACAATTCTCACCAATAAAAGGCAAAGCCAATCCAGGTGTGGTGGCTCATGTCTGTAATCTAAGCCTCAGAAGGCTGAGGCTTGTGGTTCATAGCTAACCCGCGCTACACTGTAAGACCCTATCCAAAGAAAGTAAACTTAAAAAAAAGAAAACAAAACAAAACATTAAAACCATAACAGAAATAATTTATTTTTGTTGAGCCAATCACTACTCTAGAATAAAAATATGAGCATGCATTGATGAAAACTCAGGCGGGCCAGGGATCTTTAAAAAACCATGGAAGAAAAAGAAAATAATCAACAACATAGAAGTTTAATTTCTATATCTCATAAATAAAAGTTATCTACAAATAAAATGAAAGAGCAAACATATCAGAAATATATTTTGACAAATATATAAAGAATTAATCTTTACATAAAAAGTTAAAAATGGGCAAGTAACCCTACCAGTTAAGTATATAAAGAACAAAACTGCTGATAAGAAAAAGGAAAAAAAATTAATCTCACTGATAATTAAATCAAAATCAACACAAGACTGGCTGGGCCGCCTCCAATACTCAGTCTCACAGCTTGAACACAACAGTAACCGAGAGAAAGCCTGAGCTCTGCTACCTGCATATCTACCACCCTGCAACCCTGACCATAGTCTAGTCTCCTCTCCTACCATATCCCCACATAAAACTCAACCCTGACCATATTCTAGTCTCCTCTCCTACCATATCCCCCACATAAAACTCAATCTAGTTATTTGGAATTTGTGTGACCATTGTGTGAACTCCACACCCTGATGCCAGTTCTAGAATACTAACATGTACTGTTCTCCTGTTCTCGCAGGCCTTTCCTGATACACCTGGATGATCTCAAGGGGGTGCCCTTGTCTTTGTTTCCTCTTTTCATTGAGTGCTATGGTTCTGAACAAACAGTACCACAATCATTCATGCTTCTTTTTCCTTCATTGAACAATATGCTCCTTAGGGAGACTAGGTTTTATTCACCTATACACCCCAAGCTCTGTATCCCAAGGCTAGTATGTATTAATGTATGAGTATATATGGATGGATGGATGGATGGATAGATGATACAGAAGCAGGGCCAAGAGCAAGTTGAAGTGAGGGACAATTCAGAATGAGCCAAGTGAGGTGGGTACCTTACCTCCCGAAGGGCATTCTGGGCTGCACAGTACCAAGCCCGATTCACGAGGGAGGCCTCTTTCTGATCTGACAAAGGTAGGAAGCTCAGGATATATGTGAGCATCTGGGGGGAAAACACAAGGTACTTGAGGGCTGTTAGAACTGGAAGGCCTTTAGAACCCAAGGGCATCAGAGCGCTAGCTTCTAGTCCAGCTTGGACCCAAAGCTTCAGGAGATGTTGACTTCCGTTCTCCAGCCTCCAGGAAGATCTCATGAGAATGAACCTAACATGAGCCACTTCCGAGTTCAGGTTTGTACCAAGTAAGAAGAATAAGAATTCATGCCCAGGGCTGGAGAGATGGCTCAGCGGTTAAGAGCATTGCCTGCTCTTCCAAAGGTCCTGAGTTCAATTCCCAGCAACCACATGGTGGCTCACAACCATCTGTAATGAGGTCTGGTGCCCTCTTCTGGCCTGCAGGCATACACACAGACAGAACAATGTATACATAATAAATAAATATTAAAAAAAAATTCATGCCCAGTTGGGTAGAAACAGACTGGGCACTGGGGCCAGACAAACCTAGGAGTTTCCACTTGGCTGACTCCTTGAGCCTTGTTTTGTCTGTGAAATGGCAAATGTGCTGAGATTTAAATAGGTTCTTGTGAGAAGTTACAAAAACACAGCACTTTCCATAGACCTAGAACATTAGTCAAATCCTACTCCTTTTTTTTTTTTTTTCCATTTAGACAGGGTTTCACTATGTATCCTAGGCTGTCCTGGAACTCACTATGTACCCAGCCTGGCTTATACCTGGCACAGCCTTCTCCTGCCTTAGTAGAGTTATATCCCATGTGAGAGAAGTGTGGTGTCAGTCATGATGCATGGCCTTGGGACCCCTATTCTTCCCCCATCTTCTCTATTATAGCTAGTTTTCTCAGCTAGCTGTTAAGGTAGGACAATACTGCAAGTTTTGGAGACTCTACTCTTCCCTCCAACTATGCTCTGTGAGTCTGTAAGTGGTAAGGTTGGTGGCTCTAGCTGGGGCAGAGGAAGGGGTCACTTGGGAGGCCAGGAACAACTTTCTATTAACTGTCCTTTTCTTTTAGAAACTTTCCTCCTCAAGGACTACGACAATGTTTGCTAAGCCTTTACCAAGCTAGCTGCCCTATTTCTGGATTCTCTACGACTCCCAAGGTTCAATCTTTTGATTTATGTTTACTTATATGAGAACAGTCAACTATTTAATGGTTTTACATTGTCAGGTTAACCAAACATTGGTCTCGTACCAGCTGTCTACAGGGTCCAACACTCAAAGAGTTCTCAACCTTAATCTCAACTCCAATTGTTATTTTTTGCCCTCGGTCCAACTTTACTCTTTACTGCAGCCTAAACTCCCAATCTGAGGCCCCGAGTGACACCTGGACTCATGGTCTTCTATTCTTTACTCTTAAAACTGAAGTTTCAGACAAGGCTAACCCAGATTCATCAAATCCTAGCTCCTCTACTTTCCGCTGAGTAACTCCAAAGGACACGACTTCTCTGAGCATCAGTTTCTATATGTATGAAATGAAGACATTTAAAAATAACCTAGATCAGCCTTATAGGGACTAGATGGTCCATAAGTGGTTGCCAAGTGGCTGCTATTAACCCTTCAACCTTAGCAACTTCACCATCTTACTAGCTCCAAAAGTTATCCTCCTAGACCTAGATTCCTTGTACAGCCTCCTCGTTTCTACATCCGTTCTTGTTAATCCGTTCTATACAGTCACAGAGTTAATTTCCCAAAAGCTTGTTTCCACTTTCACTACCCCTTCTGGGTTTCCCAATAATCTCAGAACAAAATCCCCGCTTCTGGTTCAACACTGCCAGGCCTCCATACTGGGCTGGGTCTGCTGGTCCCAGAACATCCCCAGTCCATCCTTCCTACCAATAGAGCAAGTCTATGAGGCTCTTTCTGGGAAGTCCTTCCGAAGTGACTTTGCTAGCCCATTGTGCTCTCTCCTCTTTTCAGAGGCTAAGTCCACAGGCAGTACTCCACCAGTATTTACTGGGTTAAATATGAGAGTTCTTTACCTCTACTTTCACCAAAGGTTTGCTCAGGGAAGGGGTGGGAGATGAAGCAGATTATTATTGTAGGGAGAATGACTAGGACCAGAGAGGAGAGGCATGAGGAAGAGTGTTGATGGGACTGGACTGACCAAGTCCCCATCCTTAGGGGACTAGGAGGGAAGACTGGGCTACCAGAGCGGCTGACCTATCTTCTGGGAAGATCAACCCCGGGAGCAAAGAGCAAGGGATACGTGTCTTCAAGGGGAGGGTCATAATTCATTACACTGAGAAAGGAGTAACCTCTCTAGTATTAAAGGAGGTGGAGATAAGGGTGGAGTGGCCACCTCACGAGCTCACCCCAAGGGACTACTACTGGTCACCCATGGGATATATAGGGATGAATGGATAACCTCTGGAACAAAAAGGGAATGGGATGTCATTGCAGGCTCTACTCCTGCTAAGGAGAGGGTGCATTCTAGGACTCATGGAAAAGTGACCTGACTTTCTTGGATAATGGGAGGGGGCTGTCAATCCCCAGGGCAAAAGAGATAGAGAAGCCATTTCTAAAAAGGCACAAGACACATAAGCCTGTACCTGCATCTTCTTGCCAATGAGAGCAGAGCAGTCTTGCCCCTGGCTAACGGAACAAACATCCCATGGAGTGAAAAATACAGGGGCAGCCATCACTAGGACGCGGAGTAGGCATGTTTTAGATTAACGACCTCGGCGACTGTCCCCAGAATTGATGGGGAGGGTGCAGTCTATTTCCAACTGCGAGGACGATGGGGGAGGGGTAGAGGAAAAGGAGCGACCATTCCAAGGGGATGGTGGAGCGGACATCTTCTAGAACTGAGGGGGAGGGGACGGCCATCTCAAGGAAAGGAGATGGGTAGAGAGTCTGTCCCCTGAGCTGACAGAGCAGCCATCTTCTGAGGTCAGTGGGGAAGGAGAGGATGGTATCCCAACCGAAGGGGTCGAAGTGGCCCCAATGCGGGCTGTTACCCAGAGTTTGCAGGTCCTGGGATCCGCCGGGCGGCTCGTTTCCGCCAGGCGGGAGGTGCCGGGTGAACTGTCAGACAGCCCTTCCCCAAAGCTCCGGACCCCGAAGGCGGGGCCTGTCCCCGACCCAGGCCTGAGGACCGCTTCCTCTCACCTCCAGGGGCAGTGAGTCCGCCATCGCATCTCTGCCGTCTCCGCCCCCGCGCACAGCTTTCTGGGAAGTGTAGTCCCCTCGCTTCTGGGGCGGAACCTGAGAAGGAAATGGAATCCACTTCCGTCCAGAATCCTGACGACGTCGGTCTGTACCGGAAGTGCATGGGCTGCCGATGTGGTGTCTACTGACTGCAGTTCCAGATACTCGCCCTTGTTTCCGAGGCAGGGTATTTGCTTCGCACCATGGCGGTAAGGAGGGTGGGTAGGGCGGGGTCCACACCGGCAAAGCATTCCCGGTGTTGGGAAAGTGAAAACAGGGAGGACATGAAGGCATAAGGCACTGGGCCAAAGAGGGGCGGCCATCCAGTGGACTGTGCTAGAGCCGAGTGGGTTGGGGTAGAGTAGCAGCGCAGGAATATACCAGAACTACTGTTGGACGCGGCGGGGCGCGGGGGAGGGGGTGCAGTTGTCAATTCCAGATTTGAGCTATTCCCCCAGAGTCTGGAGAGGGACGCCATTAAGTTCCACTGGAGTTCCCCCGGAGAGGTCCTCAGCCCATACCTGAACCTTACCAGGAGAGCCAAAGAAGATATTAACGTAGTTTGTGGATTGTTTGAGGGAGAGCATTAGGCAGTCATAGCTGGGGGTAGTGTAAAGATGGTGTCTTCACTGTAGAGGGAAGATGGACTAGAGGAGTGGTAGGCATCTCAGGGATTGAGGCAGAAAACCCCTCTGACAGCATCTCATCATCCCTCTGCAGCCCAAAGGCAAAGTGGGTACAAGAGGGAAGAAGCAGATATTTGAAGAGAACAAAGAAACTCTGAAGTTTTATCTGAGGATCATACTGGGAGCCAATGTAAGTTGCCTGCCTCGTGTTTTCCATGCCCTTTAATAGCTCCACTGTCCGCAGACCTGTCTGATTAGGAGTGCTGGTAAGTGACAGTCGAGGATGGAAACTTGAAGTTTGCTTTGGTCTACATAGACACCTCATCTCAAAAAAAAAAAAAAAAAGGTGGGGGTGGGAGGGGAGTAGTATGTAACTGCACTTCTAGCTACTTGGAAGGCTGAGGCCAACAAAGCAAGACTCAAGTCTCCAGGAAAGAGAAGTGAGAACAGAAAGTGCAGCTCAGTGGCCGAGCCCTTGTCTAGGTTTGATCACCAGCACTGCATGCACACACACACACCCGCCAAGTATCCAGGGGCTGAGTGGTTAAGGGTACTTGGTGCTCTTGCAGGGGACCTGGGTTCCATTCCTAGCACCCTACCCAACTACATGGTAGTTCACAACCATCTGCTCCAGGAGATCCAGTGCCCTCTTCTGACCTCTATGGTACCTGACACAATTGTGGACACGTGGTGCACTCGCATGCACACAGGCAAAACACTCATGCATAAAATGTATCTTAAAACATTTTTTAAGAAGCAGCCAAGTGCCAGCAGGTGGTGGCACACTGACCTTTCATCCCATCACTCGGGAAGCAGAGGCAGGTGGATCTTTGTGAGTTTTGAGGCCGGCCTGGTTTACAGAGTTTACAGAGCAAGTTCCAGGATGGTCAAGGCTGTTACACAGAGAATTCCTGTCTTGAAATACCAAAAAAGAAGAAGAAAAAAAAGAAAGAACAAAAGTGCTAGGCACAGAGGAAGTATAAACTAGAACTGAAAACAGAACATAAAGAAAGAAGCAGGGAGTCCAGTTGGGTTTGACTGTCCTCACTCTATACTCAGGTGTCTTTTCCTGGACTATCATGGGTATAACAATTGTCTGACTCAGGAAGCAGGGCCCTTTACCACTTGGTTTCCTCCTTAGTCTGGCCCAATTCTTGGTCAGCGTTGAAGAAAGCCCATAATTTGAGGGCAGCTTTCAACCCCACCTCCTGTGTTTTCTTACAGGCCATATACTGCCTTGTGACCTTGGTTTTCTTCTATTCATCTGCCTCATTTTGGGCCTGGGTAAGCATCCCTGTTGGGGGATATTCGCTCACACTGTGAACCCTGAGTTTGCTTTTGCATTAATTAAATAAAATTGACTGTGGGCCAGGAGGCTGAGTTAGCAACTAGTTGACAAAAAAGTCATCCTAGAGCATCAGAGGGCATCCGGGAGAGATAGAGAGACATACCAGGAGGAGTAGGGGCAAATTTGGAGTTTTGTGGCGCTTTTTGTTTGGCGGAGCTGAGGGAAGCTCTTGGGAGAGGTTAGTTAGCTGCGGCTCAACCTTTCTGAGCTAGCAGGTTTTCACCACAGCCTTTGAGTCTCAAGTCTTATTTATAATTAGAATGAGGCCAGGCAGTGGTGGCGTATGCCTTTAATCCTAGCATGGGGAGGCAGAGGCAGGCGGATCTCTGTGAGTTCGAGGCCAGCCTGGTCTACAAGAGCTAGTGCCAGGACAGGTCCAAACCTACAGAGAAACCCTGTCCCGAAAAACCAAAATAAATAAATAATAAATAAATAAATAAATTAGAACGATAGAAAAATAGTTAAAGCTGCGTTTAGTGGCAGCAACAGAGCTGCTGCCTGCAGGAACAGAATTCCCACCAGGCTGTGGCCTGGCCAGGGAAGCAGGCCAGTAACTGTGGCATCCCAATTGCTCGCTGAAATAGCAGTAGATTAAGGTGCAGCCTTATCTTAACAACATATCCCCATACTGGAAAGTAAACGAGTGCCCAGGGTCAGTGCCTAGCCTCTGGTACTCTTTTTCTTGTTTTGCAGATGGCCCTGGGGTTTAGTTTGGCAGTATATGGGGCCAGTTACCATTCTATGAGTTCCATGGCTCGGGCAGCCTTCTCTGAGGACGGGTCCTTGATGGATGGCGGCATGGACCTCAACATGGAGCAGGGCATGGCAGAGTGAGTGTCCCCCATCGCCAGCCCAGGTGAGCGGCCCCAGGGCTGGGGCGCTGGGGCCCACACAGCCCAAGACTCACAACTACTTTGAACTTGAACAGTATGGAAGGGGGCAGAACTAGGGCCAGTCTACTATCCTTGGCAGCCTTCCTTCTATCCACAGGCACCTTAAAGATGTGATCCTACTGACAGCCATAGTTCAGGTGCTCAGCTGCTTCTCCCTCTACATCTGGTCCTTCTGGCTTCTGGTACGTGCGTGGGCTGGAGGGCTGGGCCTCTAAAGAAAGCTTAGTCAGCATCCCCCCCCAATTCTTTCATTCTTTGCTAGTCTTTGTAACTGGCTTCAAGTTACCTTTTGTGTCCTAGGCTCCCGGCCGGGCCCTTTACCTCTTGTGGGTAAACGTGCTGGGCCCCTGGTTCACAGCAGACAGCGGAGCCCCGGCACCAGAGCACAATGAGAAACGACAGCGCCGACAGGAGCGGCGGCAGATGAAGCGGTTATAGCCATCATTATTGTGCCCACAGACTGCTAAGCACTGGCTGGTTCTATCAGGCTGCATGGCCCCATGCCTGGAGCAGTGAAGGGCCAAAAGCAGTCTGAATTATGAAATATAGGATAACTAAATAAATTGTTTAGAATGTGGCTGATGGCTGTGTGGATGATAATGTACAAAGTAGGAAAAATTAGTCCTATATTACTTCTTTCTTGGCTCAGCTAGGCAGTGACCTTCGAAGAGGAAAAAGGCTCTTGGATTAGCTAGGTAAACTTTATTATTTTGTTCCAAATAGGGAACTCCCACACATGCACACACCATGTGCGCACACGGGCATGCACACATAAACACACACACACACATCTAATACTGCTCACAATACTGGTTCCCTGGGTGCAGGCTTCTGAACCAGATTTCTACTCCAGGCCCTTTTTGTGCTCAGTCTCTTGTACTATAGCTGTATCCAGATAGATTTCCCGGTGGTAGCATGCTCACACCTCCAGGCCAGGAGCTTTGCTTAGTCCCAGTGCCTGCACCAGGTCATCTCCAAGCCCGCTCTTCAGTGTCCGTCTCACTGCAGTGACAGAGCAGGGTCACAGGTTGGCGGGGAGGTGTTGGGGATGGGGGGAGTCAGTGGGCTTATAAGGGGATACTCACAGGACTTGCGGTTGCCACGAGAGCGCTTCCTTTCCCGAGCAGCTAAGGCTCTAGGACTGCTCTTGGTAACTGACTGCACCAGCAGATCCATTATCTCATCGGATGTATCGCTGGGTAAACTGGAACCCGAAGTCTCCTCAGGGGATGGAGTGGAGGGCCCCACTGCTGTGTGTGCGACAGGGGAGCTGCTCTGGACCATGCCTAAGGAAGACCAGGGAAGAAAATCAGGCTAGGGTAGATTAGAACACATTCCCCTAGCAGCTGCTACAAACCCTACCTCTGCTGCGCCGGCTGTGCGTGGTGTCTTCTGGCCTGCTGGTAAGCAGACTCTTCATACTGGCATGACTATCAGCATCACCCCGTCCTGGTCCACTGCCGACGGCCACTGGGACAGACAGGTTACTGGGGGCCTCCCCAGCCACTCCTGAGAACTTTTCTGTCTAAACGGGAAGAAGAGTGGTTAGGAGCAAGGAAAAGGAACCATGGGGTGGCAGGTAAGACTAAAAGGGCATTTACCTCGGTGATCATGCGCCCCCGGGTCTTGTTGCGCTCTCGGTAGGTAGCCCGCTTCTGCTGCTGATGCAATACTCGTTCCCGACAGGTCCGATACTCGAGTGCAAACTCTCTCAGGGTGTGACAGAACTGCATGATGCGAACTTCCCGGGCTGCCTGCGCCGTGTAGCCCAGGTAGAGCAGGAAGGCATGGAACCTAGAGAGGTCATAGTGGGAGATGTGGATAGTGAGCCCTGCCTGGTGTTTAACAGGATGGTGGTGACAGTACCCACCCCCAGCCCCCCCCTCTCTCATGGCTCTACCTGTTGCAGACTCGGCGGTGCACCACCCTTAGCATGGCTACCCGGCGTGTACACTGGGCCAGGAAGTGGGTGAGGCGAGCACGTAGAGCTGGGGCTAGCTCATGCTTTGCTAAGCTCCGAAGGCTGTCTTCGGCTGCCCGGCTCCGGCACTCCAGCTGCCCCAGGTTCTCGGTCAGCTGCTCAAAATC